TACATTCTATAGTAAATGGAGAAACAATTAGCCTAATTTTTTTTCGTCAAAATTTTCGAGTTTGAGTTTTGATTGGATATATCCGTTTTGGGTCCCCCCAGAACCCAAAAAAGTGGGTTTTGAAGTTATGTCTGTCCGTGTGTACGTGTGTGGGTGTGTGTCTGTCTCTATGTGTAGATGTGTACAGAACTACAGACCAGACGTGTGGTCCAATTTTGATGGAATTTGGTATGTAGCTATTAATACATAGTATCTCCAGGCGTCTTTTTCATTTTTAGAAATTTTGATTTTTAATGGTGATTTTCCAATAAAAACCCATAAAATAACGAAAAAATATGACTTCTCGAATATAGTCCGAACAATATTGATAACAATTTAGTATGTTGTAGCCCTCCCTTTAAAGTTGAACAAGATGGTAGCAATCCCATTCCTGTAACAATTATGGTTTAAAAGTTATTGTAAGTTATGTTATTTTCCATTTAAAGAAAACTCCATAAAATAAGAGAATGTCAAGACGGTTTGGATTGATATTAGTAGGCCTATGTGATGGTCTTTATAATTCTAAACAACATAGTGCAACCCCCATTGCTGTAAAAATTACAGTTTAAAAGTGATTGTAACTTATATTATTTTTCCATAAAAACACATGAAAAAACGGAAATATGGATTTCAAAAATACTGTTTTGATTAAAATTTCCCTGTTATAGTCTTCATAATTTTAAACAAAATAGTGCAATCTCCCATTCTTGTACAAGTTACGGTTCAAAAGTTTTTGCAACTTTTTAGATTTTACCTATCTATTCTCATTGCTTAGCCATGATAGAGGGTGTTGACAAGCTAATGAAAGAGTCTATGTGTCAAATTGCTGTTTATTTTCGATTGTGAAATATTAATTTGAAATCTACAGAATCAACTGAGATCAATTTATTTTTAAGAGCCACATTAATATTTTCTGTGTCAGCCCAAAGCGTGGGTTATGGATACTTTTCTCCATATCTCTGCCCATCCAATCATTATCACTATCCATATAATTTTATGGATATTTTTGTTACATCATACCTACAGTTTAAGTTTATTTTTAGTAGTTGTTTCAATCTTTTGTTAACAATAGTTTCTACCTCCCTTACGTTTAAATTTAGTTTTCTAATATTTTATTGAAAATAAAAAAGAGTTAAGGGAAAAATCACGATTCCTATGCTACTTCGATAAGAAATTGTCAATAAACTATCATTGATTGTTGTTTCTATCAATGAATTTGCTTACACTGTTGGTAAATTGCTTCATTTCACGCTATGTTGCTTTTAATTACAAAAATAACCTCTAATGTTTTCCTTATTAATATGAACCTATCGGACGAATCATGGAGGGCTGTTTGAATCAGTTATGAACTAAGTAGTTTCATTCATTTAGTTATATTAATAATGGGTTCATAGATAGGTATACAAATATTCCTTGCAATAAACTATAAAAAAATAATAGATTACATTACTGCTATTTTAACCATGTCCTGCTTTTGATTCTTTACTAGCAAGCAAGCACACGTGTAAAGAGTTTTGGATTAAATAAAGAACCCTGCTTTTCAAAAGCAAGACATAGTCAAAAAAGCAATTACTGTAATCTTTTTTTAGTACGGCATATTTTTTATACCTATTTATGAACCCATTATTACATCTTTTGCCGGCAATAGTTTCTACCTTCCTTAAGTTTAAATTATCTAATGAAAAATGTTATTCTTCTTCCCAACTTGTTCCTTAGATATACAAAAATAAGAATTTTTAAGTATCATAATTAACAGAGAACCTTTTTCATATTGTACTGATGTCAATGTGCCAAAGTATCTAACGATAGCTTCACATATTTTGTTAATATAAAAAAAAAAAACACTATGGTATTTCTTATGTATTAACTAATATAATTACCTTTCTCATAATCCTAAACCATGATAGAATTTGGGTTATTTGGTTCACATTAAAGGGTGTATTTCGATGTAAGAGGGACAGGTTCAATTCCATCGTATGAAAAAATAAGGGGTTAGAAGTACTTTCCCTCAAAATCGTTTGTGTCTCTTTGTTTAAAAAGCCAATGGTGTTAAGCACTAACAAATAAAAATAAATGAAAATCAATTAAATCTCCTTAGCATAACACTATCCAAATTTATTGTGTTAATTGACTGATTAAATAAATATTTTCAAATCCCCAAGCTATTTTAATCCAAACTAAAGCAATCAAGTAGGAAAATTTCAATCCAACACTCTTCAACTTTCCAATGTCTTGTCTTCACTATGGCTCAATAGCCCGGAGCTTGTAAACAATGAACAATACCCCCCACCCCCATCATCAAACCCCCCTCATTTCCCCTTCTGACAGCCCATCCAACCCTGCCATAGTTGTTCTTCCAATTAAATATTCAGAGACCATTTAACATTTGTTGTCTTACGCTGCAAACTGTCTTGGATACAACATTTACAATCAGATCCCGCCTTTAAGCTTAATGTTTGGGCGTTGTAAATAAAAGACAATTTTACAGAATGCCTACATCAACGCAATAAAACTGCAAGATTTGTTTAGATAAACTCTAATCAAAACTCCTTAAATATTCAGTTCTTCATTTTTTAAACATTTTGATTAAAAATTCAATATATTTAAGCCTATGGACGATTCAAGATTAATTTAAATTATTATGTCATCCTTTTTAAGAAGATAGCAAAAGTGTGCTGAACGCATTCATCATTCTTTTAATTTTGTTCCTCTCAGATATTAATTTCTGAAGATGAACTGATGAACATTGTTGGAAACTGTAAATCCAGGAAATATTCTTCCCTGGCATCCCTAAGGACCATTAATAAAAGTCCCTTACTCGGGTGTAGGGGGTTGTTTTTGTTTGATACTGCTAAAAGGGTTTTCTTGCCCTTTAAGTGTTCCCTGGCATGTGTGTTTGGTAACTGGTGATAAAGTATTCCACACATCTTCTTGCCATTTAGACATCATCATCTTTGAGTATAGTCGTTATATAAATTTCAACATGTCTTAAATGTGATTAATAGAATTGTGAGAATCTTAATCCATATTTCATAAAATTATTAACTTTATTCATGCACCCTTTTATACTATCAAAGCTGGTCATGTTGATTCCTACATGTAATTATGAACATCTAAAAACACCAGAGAACAAAAATACAAGTTGTAGGACAAAGCAAATGTAAACTTCCTGAATTGTTATTTATACATGTTCAACTTCAACCGCTGTCACTTTGTACCCTAGTCTATGAAGTCATTTAATCACACTTCAAATCAATCAATCTTTATTCCGAGACAACAATGTACAAAAATCATACAATGCTGTATAGGCTGCGTCAATGTAAATTAATAAAACCTTTCAAAGGTCAAAGCAATTGTCAAAATATTCATCTAAGTCATAAAAACAGTATTTCAATAACAAATTCTTAACAGCTATTTTAAATCTATCTAATGGTAACTCTTGAATATAATATGGTAGATGATTGAATAACTTAATCGAGGAATATTTAAAGCTTTTTTGAGTAATACTATAAGTACAGTAATAATTTCTTAGTTTAGCACAGTTTCTGGTCTTATAACTATGGACATCACAGTGGGAAGACAAAGTGTTTAAGTTCTTTTTACAATACATAAGACAGTGAAAAATATATATACAAATAAGAGGCATGACAGATAAACAACAAAAAATGGGCTTACAATGAGTTTTTGGTGGAACACCAGCAATTAATCTAAGAGCTCTCTTCTGCAACACAAATAAAGATTTTGCATAACCACAATTAGCCCAGAGAATGGTACCATAGGTAAGATGACAGTGTATGTAGCTATAGTAAACAGTAAGCAGAGCTTCCATTGAAACAACATTTTTTAGTTTTCTTAATATAAACATACCTTTGGATATTTTAACAGCTACAAATTCTATATGTGATTCCCACTTCAAGTTGCTCTGAATTAAGATACCTAAAAATTTAACAGGTTGTTGATGAGAATCTGTGTTAGCATAAGAAATTTTCAGATCTTGCGTTTTATTTAAATTTAAAGATAGTTTATTAACATTACACCAGTCTACCATTGTATTAACAGAGCCAACAGTGGTTCCATTCTGCAAGTCCTTATGAGTTTTAAAATTTAGACACACATCATCAGCATACATACAACAAGAAACACATTCATTCTGTAAATTATAAGGCATATCATTAACATAAATAATAAAAAACAAAGGTCCTAAGATCGACCCTTGCGGAACGCTATGATGAGTCTCCACCAAATCCGACAGAACACTTAACTACGGTTGGTAAAATTATGGGTTTGGTAAAATTATTGACTATAAACTCTACCCTTGTAGTTTACAGTCAGTGGTAAGTCACATGGATAAGACAGTCCAGAGATAAGATAGGACAGCAATATATGGCTTATTAACTTAATGCTTTCATTGTGCTTTCTTTTTGTGAATTTTCCAAATCAGCTCATTGGCTGATATTGGCTTTATTGGTATCATTTACTGTCATATTTATTGGTACCGTCATTGGCTTTATGTATCGACAGTCCCAAAATGCTCTAGTTCAAATGTACTAGGTACAATGTACTTCATCCCGTAGTACAAATGATGACCAACATCTCACAATTATCTCATTCAGTACATATTTACAGTTGTGCGCTTAATGGCCAATACCAATACTTGGCTTAAAATACCTACTATGTAAGGTCGCCATTTCATCGAACAGTAGGCCTATTAACAGTATTAACCAATAATCATGGATACAAACTCAGTTTTGAACCATTCACGCTGCTGACTTTTCTCAGAATTAAAACTGAGACCTACACTCTGCACTATATCCACTCAGATACCCAGCCATGATATCAACAAACAAATTAATAAGTTCAATGTCAAATATAGTTTTATCTATATTTTGGTAAAATATATCTCAATATTGTATTATAGTATTGAACATTTAATAAAACTAAAATATTTATTTGTTTTCCAGCTGCACTCCCCCCAAAGAATGCTGTTCTCTCGGATGTTGCTACCTGTACCCTCCCCCTGCCCCGAACTTCTTCAGTCTTGTTAACTGGAATCACTGGTATCTATGGTGAGTATGTCATTTGGCTGTTCACTTTGGTTCTTTAGTTCTACACTTCATATTTTATGCTTTACATGTTCTAAAAAACTACTTTAACCTGGAGAATAGGTAGTAACCTAAATTGTCATCAAGTATGATAATGTAAATAAATTTTCATTTAATATTTGATTCTACCTCCATTTTATCATTTAGATGTTTGAAGTTGGATCTAAATACACAAATTTTATTGTTAGTTCTGTACCGTGCACTGTAGAGGTCGTGTTTTGTTTAAAATTTGTTTATTTCAGTCTAAAATCTCATTTGAACAAAAAAACCGATTTAATCATAAACAATACCTCGTCCCCCAGTCATATAACCAAAAAGTAAGCACAAATTATGGAATTAACACTAAAATGATGGACACAAAATTGCATCATCACTAGTGATCACCAGACATGAACTAAGCATGAAAAACTAGCTTCAGAATTTACAATGGGATGAGAGATCTACTTGTGTTGGTATAGGTCTGTAAATATAGTTTCACTGTTGTTAAATCTAATTGTTGTAAGTATTTAAGTGCCTTCCATTGAAACTACTTACGTAACATCTTTTTAGGCCATTTTACAAATTGTGTAAATAAAAGCTGACAAAGCAATAACACTATCACAAAAGTAAAATATAAAGTTAAAGTCTGCTCAGCCTTACAGTTCTCTGTTGGTACTGTGACTCAGTGGCAGTTCCAAGGAGGGGGGCTACAGGGGCTAAAGCCCCCCAATGGACTCTGGAAAAATAAATTTAAACATTTTTTTTTCTCCTGTAACGAATGATTGGATACTAAAGATAATACTATATTGTACAAAATGATATAGTAGTGTATTTCCTTATAAATCTCTCTTAAATTATTTGTATCACGTAACTAACAATACATAATACAAAATAACAATATATAAAATAACAAAAAAATAATATTAAGATTGAAAAAAATTAATTAAGTCAACAAAATCAGCTAGATAACAAGGTCAAATCGATCAATTATAAAACGTTTCGACACCTCGTTAAACAAACCTTCACAGTGACAATTATGACTTTTGTGACTATTAGTTCAGTTAGAATTTTTGATAAATGAGTCGACACTCATCTATAACTGATCTCTCATCATTTCAATCTCAAATGAGTAGAGTTGATGAAGCATTCAATCGGAATTAATTTAATTGAAGTGGAATGTTTTCCTAAGACAAGACCATCATTCAAAGCTCTGTTTGATCATTTGTCTCGCGAGACTCTCTGCTTGTGACAAAGACAGATTGTCTGATACCTACATTTGGCTCCTGCACGCTCTATATCACCAAGCAATTGATTTTCTGAGGTTAAAATACGTCTTCCCCAGCCCTTATCAATCTTCACCTTTAAGATTTAACCTCAATTAGAAATTGGATTGAATGAAAGAGCAATGTTTTAATAACTATAAAAGAAACTGAATTTGAGTGTGGGATTAATCGAAGTCAAGAAAGATGCTTTAATGACATTAGGATTAGAGTAAATGGTTGTTCCTTTTGTTCACAATAATAATAATAATATTAACACTAATTAAATCTTTGCATAAAGAAACTGTCATAAATAATACATATCACTAACATTGTTGAAACTTTTTGGCAGTGATACTTAATTGCGAAGGTTTTAGGATTTTTAATACTTACTCTAATAATTCGTAATTTTGAATTTAGACTATGAACGTTTGTTTTCTGTAGTTCTTGAAAATCATGTTTATCAAAAATCTATTGATGCAAAAAAAATATAGAGATGTATGGGGAGGTTTTGTGATGCTGTTTTTACTTAAAGACTCTATAATTGTTTGAAATAATACAGTACCTAACCCAATGAAAGTAAAACCTTGAAGGTAATTTTTACGTCAAAGAAAGGCCAGGACAATAGTTCTTTAATCTTATTTATACCAAATATGTATGAGTAATAACATTTAAAAGGGTAAAAAAATACACACATACAAAAAATTTCTTGAAATGGAGATAAATGTACTCTGCTGAATACACGTATCGAAATTTCAAAACAAACCTTTTCAAACAAGTTCTAATGAAAAAGGTAAAAATGCAACACTGAGAAAAACTACTCTAACCTTTCCAATAAGAGAAGCCATTAAAGTTGCCCCAAAGGAAGCATCCGTTGGCGCAACAAAAACACCCCGGATTCACCTGATAAGGTTTACTTTGTTGGTGACATTCTTTCCTTTTCAGTTTTCCACTGATCCACCTCAATACCTCTAAAAGACTACTGTCTGATGCAGACTTTATTTCATCCTCAGTTTCTAGCTGGGTAAAATCTAAAGGTATATAGGGAGTCAAAACAATCATATATTACGGTTTGGTGTAGGGGTCTTTATCTGTTTTACATTGTATAGAACTATACTTGTTTTATCTTCTTGCTTGTTCGTTTGAATTCTTTTGTTTTAGTTTGGTGGGCAGTGTATTTATAGTGTTAGCAAAACGGGAGTGCCGATGGAGACCTGTGGGGGTGCGTGCATTTGAAGGGACTTGACCTGGTCTCCATCGGCACTCCCGTTTTGCTAAGACTGTAGATTGTAGTTGGATGTATATATTTTTTAAGGGGTTGGTGGCCTCTTTTACCTTGCATTTGTCTACCCACTTGGGCCACAGAGGCCTGTGCTTGAAACGTATCCAGTAAAGCAAGGGGTGGAGCCGGTACAACGCAGGTGAACTGCAATGATAAAAAGTAGTGGCACGAACCAGGATACAATCCGACATAACTGCGAAACGACGAAACAAAACTGCCTTCGGCCTGAAGCCCGTGGCACTACCGACTGAACATGTGAATGTGATAAGAAATTGGATTATTGTATACTTTATCACCCATTACTTTCTAAAATTGTGATGCACTTTGTGAATAGTTGAGTTTAAAAGTAAATTTAACTAAGAAGTTTCCCTTAGTTACATTAACTACCAAAGCCTAGAAGAACATACAACTTTGTAGAAGATATTTGAGGCTCTAATGGAGTATGTGCCACCTCTAATATTTCAATAACATTTTGATTCACAATTGCTTGGCTCTATATAAAAAGCCAAGTAAAATCTTATGGGTGATTTTAAAAAAAGATGCATCTAAGTAGTCCTTTACATTTGTTTGAAATATGTAAATTTGGCACAGGTGCATGGGCGTCATCGGCCTGGCGCTGGTGTGTGTTGTGTGTGGCTGCGGTCTCTGGCGCAAGAGAGACTCACCAAACCAAGACGCGGCGTCGGAGCCTGACAGCGCCGGGTCTTGCTGCCAACCACCTCACTATAGCCGGTGCTCCTCTTTCCATCAGCCTCCCCCACCTCCTTACTCAGAGGTATGGAAATATGTAATACAGTTTTGGATTTTTTTGTCCTTTGAAGCTAGATACTAGCCTGGAATTGTTTTTCACATTACTTCGGGGTACATGGCTATACACAACACAGTGTACCATTGATGGTTACTGTAATGATAAAGTGAAGCCTAATGATGTACTTTATGTTACATACTCTAATGAGTAATGATGTTAAGGACTAATGTCTTTAAAGAGTTAAGCAGTTATTCACACAGCAAGTACTATCAGCCATACTGCATTCATACTCACTTGTGCTGCTTAGTACCTTTGATTATGGATAGAACTATATATTCAATTCGCACGTTGGAGTTGTAGCTGTGGGTGGAGCCAACATCAGCCATGTGGACTTCATAAAAACTACGTGAAAATAGAGTAGTTGAATTGAGCCACAGAGTGTGGGCTAAATGTAAATTGCTGATTTCTGAATTTGCGACCTTTTTAACCAACTCAAACTGATAGACAATAGACAATAGACAATAGACAAAATCTTTATTGAAATATTCCTAGAGAACATTCATGCGTCAGGTACATAAAATGTACAGTATGTACGTAAACTATTACAGTAATTTGCAATTACAATTAGAATTTTCTTCTTCTTTTTCTTCTTTTTTCATGGTAGCTTATTGTTTAAGAATTCATCCTCAGAGTAGAACGGCCGGTCCATAAGCCATGTTGTCAGGTGCTTCTTGAGCAGATTGGGTTGTTCTCTCTTGAGGTGCTCTGGTAGGTTGTTAAAGTACAGAGCACCTTTGTAGGATGGTTTCTTCTCGTACAGACTCAGATGGTGTTGTGGGAGGGAAAAATTGGCGGCATGTTGTGTGTTGTGCTGGTGTATGTCTCTGTGTCTTGGCTGGGCTGTTTTAGTGGTGTGGATAATGACTTCTCTTATGTAGAGTGAAATTGATGTGAGAATTTTAAGGTTCTTGAAGGCTTCTCGGCAGCTGTCTCTGTAGTTCAGGTCGGCAAGGCATCTAATTGCTCTTTTTTGCTTTAGGAGTACTCTTTCCAGGTTGCCTTTTGATGTTCCACCCCAAGTCGCAATGCCATATCTGAGGTGGGACTCGAATAGAGCAAAATATGCAACTTTGGCTACTTCTGGGCTGCAAGCTTGCTTGATCCTACGTATAACGTAGAGACTTGAACTTAGCTTTTTGCAGAGCTGGTCTATGTGGGGTTTCCATGATAGCTTGGAGTCAATTATGATGCCTAGGTATTTTGTGGTGTTTTGTGTTTGTAGTCCCGGTATTGTAATGTCTGTGTTGTTGCGTTTGGTGGTGAAAGTCATTTGAACGGTTTTGCTTTCGTTTAGAACTAGGTCGTTGGAGGTACAGTATTGCTTTGTTCTCTGGAGTTGTGTGTTGGTTTTCTCTTCCAGATTTTCCATTGTTTTGTCCGCAAATGTGAGAACCGTGTCATCTGCGTACATGGTGGTGTGTCCATCTTCCCCAATCCAACTAGGTAGGTCATTCGTGAGAAGGAGGAAAAGGACTGGGCCAAGTACTGATCCTTGGGGTACTCCTCTTTGCACGTCTACAGCTTTGGATTGGGCCTTATACTTAGTGTTGTTCCTTATGTAGGCTATTTCCACAAGCTGTTTCCGGTTACTAATGTAGCTTTTAAACCATTCTGCTGCTCTTCCTCTCACGCCTAGTGTTTCCAGCTTGAGTAGAAGAAGTTCGTGGTTTAGGCAGTCGAAAGCTTTACTAAAATCTAGGAAGAGGCTTGTTGAAGTGCTGCCTTCTTCTAGTTGGTCTAGTATGTGCTCCGTCAGTTGTATTAAGGCTGTGGCTGTCGATCTGCCTTTGATAAATCCATGCTGTTGACTATTGAGAAGGTTGTGTTCTTGAAGATGGTGTAGGAGTTGGGCTAGTACTATCTTTTCGATTATTTTTGAAAATGTTGATATTAGGGAGATTGGCCTGTAGCTGTTTCTTTCTATCGTTGGTCCATTTTTGTATTTTGGGTAGACTTTAGCTATTTTTAATTTATCTGGGAATTTTCCTTGTGAGAGTGATTTATTTATAAGGTCTGTCAGGGGTATTACTATTTCATTTTTACAGTTTTTTAGAAGTTTAGCTGATACCTCATCAGTTCCGGATGAATTTTTCATCTTTAGAGATTGAATGGCCTTTTGCACTTCTTCTTGTGTGACCCGTCTGAACTGGAGTGTGTGATGTGTTGCTGGTAAGTGGTCTGTTAAGGCATTGGTTCTAGAGTTATTGTTATTTTGGAGTGTTCGGTCGGCTATTGATGAGAAAAAATCATTAAAACAGTTTGAAACTTCTATTGGGTCGTCTATTGTTTTATTGTTGACTTGAAGATGGATTTGGTTTTCAGTATTTGATCTCGCTTCCTTCGCTTTCTTGGTTTATTGTTTGCCACAGTGCTTTAGACTTTTTTTCAGCCTGGTTTATGTGAGCTGTGTTGTTTTCTTTCCGAAGCATTTTCAAATGCTGGTCGTACTCCCTTTTTTTAATAGTTGTTCTGGCTTTGTCTTCCATAAGTCCGGTTGTTTGCTCCTTTTCTAAGGCCTTTATATATTCATTTTTAAGTCTAGCCGATTCTTGATTCCAACACTGTCTCCTTTTATGTTGTTTAACTCTTGACGTTTTAAGAGGGCAGGCGTGGTTTAGTGTTGTCTGGATGATGTTGCTGAAATTGTTGTAGGCTTCATCTACGTCATGAGTTTGTATTATAGTTTCCCAGTCTTGTTCTTGTAGCTGTGTCTTAAAGTTATCTATTGTTGTTCTGTTGAAGATTCGTTTATTTTCATTGATGTTGTTGATGATCGGTTTTCTAGTGATGATTTTTGCGATTTGTGCGGTATGGTCAGATAGTCCTGATGTTATAACTGAGGTTTCTATTTGTTGATTATCAATGTTTGAGCATATCCAGTCTATTGATGTTTCTGAGTCACTTGTAATTCGAGTGGGAGGTAGCCTCAGTCTTGAGATATTGAAGGAGGTTAGGAGTTCTTCAATTTTTTCGTTTTCATTGTCATCAACTAGGTTGTTTACATTGATGTCTCCCATTATTAATATTTGCTTATCCGTAGTGAGCACTGTTTCCAGTTGTTCAGAGAGTATATCGATGGCTTGGTCTAGGTTTGCACTTGGTGGCCTGTATACTCCGAGGACCAGCAGTGGATTCCTGTTTAGCTTCAGTTCAAAGAGCACAGTTTCGCAAATTAGTTCTGTTTCCTTGCTACTTGTGCATATGAGTGATACATGCTTTTCCCAGCCACTTCTTACATAAGCGACCACTCCTCCTTTGACATGGGATTTCCTTGAGAAGCCTCCAATAAGTGAGTAATTTTCTACCCACGTGTTTTGCAAGTTTTGTTGTGCTACGCCGTGCTCTGTTATTATGATCAGGTCCGGGTCTTCATCTTGGAGGAAGTGTGCTAGTCTATCAGTTTTTTTAGATAACCAATTTATGTTTTGGTGTAGAATTTTAAGTCCTTGTTGGCTATTAGGTGTTTGGAATTTTACTGTACGGAGTGTCGGAGGGGATGTGTTACATCTTTGAGCTGGTTTTTGTGCTTTTCTCTGGGATGAGGGTGTTCTTCTAAAAAATGATGTTGGGAGGTGGGAGTGTTTAGGGGTTCTTGTGTGCAACTTTGGTTTTTGTTAGTTTGTAGTGTGTTTTTATACTTTGGGAGGGGTGGTTCTGGTTCTGCGATTTTCTCAATGTTGATGTGGTATTTGGAAAGTTCCTGGGAGCTAAGCAAGTTTGCTTGTTGTATCCAACGGCCTAGTTTATCATTACTGCTGGGTGTTATGTAAAGGAATGAGTGTGTGTGCCTTGAGATAGCAACGATGCAGTGGTGCTGCGATTCATAAATTTCTTCTCTTTTAGCAGATGTTCGTATGACAGCTATGTTTTCTGCTTGCCGTCCTTGAAATTCATGTATCGTAGATGCGTTGAAACCTAGCTTGTTTAGTTCTCTTTTCTCAGCTTGTTTGAAGACCAAGCATTTGTATTTATTTTTGTTGAGAGTGAGGTTCAGGCTTTCTAGTCCCTGATACTGCTGTGTCGCCAGTTCTTTCTCTGTCTGGTTGGTGGTTTGCATTCCTTGGCGGTATAATTTTGAGAGGATGGCTGTGGTGCTCTTTGTGCATCTGTATGTGGTGTTTAGTATTTTTGTTGTTGTGGCTATTTCTGTAATGTTGTGGTATTTAACTTCTAGGTTCTCTGCTCTGTTTATATATGGTATTTGGTTAATGTCGCCAATAAGCAATACTTCTTTAGCAGTTGATAAAATGGCTGCAAAGAGTATTTCTCCGGCATGCATCATTAGGGCTTCGTCGATGAAGAGCCTGTTATAGGTGTTTCCTCTCTTAAGATGTTGGGTGGAGTTTATTATGAATGAATGCACGGTTCGGAAGGTGTCATTGCATTTTGCCTGGCTATTACAATTTATAGGACAAATTATCGTATGCAATAGTATCTTTTATGTCACATCAACTCATCAGTAGAATTTTAGACTGTACAGTAGCACATTCCTCTGTGAGTGGCTCATTCAAATAGCCTATGTTCTTTTTATTTTCACAATAAAAAGCTACAGCTGGTCCATATAAACTTGGAACCTATACATAAAAAAATTTAACCTATATCATTTACCGTAGTAAATAAAACTGTGCATAAATAATTATGATTCGACCTTTTTCTGTGTCCAGGTGACATCAAAGCCAGACCTGTACCCCTTGGTGATTAGTTACTCAGACAACGGAAAGTCTGGAGGAGGCAGCTACCTCATGGTTCAGTACTTCCGCAACTACATCATGAGGCCTGTCGGTGAGTCACCATATTCCAGGGGTAAAAGTGGTTTTCATTGATCTAAGGTTAGTTCCAGCATTGTTGTGGGGGTAGTATAGACTCTGCCGTTTGCAAGAATCCTATGGATTAGTAAGCAGCCCAAGTTTTTCCGAGTTATTACTCACAATGGGTAAAAGGGTTTAATAATTTGAAATGGCATCTTGTATTTTCAGGTTAAAACTACTTGTTAACTACTGGAGTACATATTTCAAGCAGTAAATTATTTAAATTGTATAAACAGTAATAATATTACATTCTTACTTGTTTACTGTTTATTAGTAGAGTAGTTTAAAACAAATGTAACCATTTGCACTGTTCGCTTTCTCTTTAAGGCTAAAAATTCGCAAGACTTTGAGACACTACCTTGTATATGGTAATGAGGGGGGGGGGATGGGGATCTTAGATTCTCCAATGTTAGTCATATTTCAGACAATAGTGAGCTTTTGACACTAGAAAATTTACAACTGCACCATTGGCTACTTCCTGAAAATCTACTGGGAGAAAGTGGGTGACAGAGGCATAGAATGCTTGAGTGGGTTAGACCACATTAGTTACTTAGTAGTAGGTAATACCTTTATGGTACACAAAATTATAGTTTTAATCTACATATTTCAAGAACATATAATCTTTTATTTGTAGAATGAAAATACAGTAACTCAATGATCATTAATACTTCTAACAAGACCATGGAAATATCAAAGATTAAAAAATAATTAGCTTCTTTGAGGCTTAAACGAGTACAAAACTTTTCAGAAAGTTGGTTAAAGCCCAATCTTCTTGGGAGGCTTTTTATTGACTAGAACGGTAGACCGCCTCCAACTTTTTAACAAACCCAAGTGATTCTCTTATTTATTATTAAACTTAAATTGTTCTTTTGAAGACTGTAAGTGTTTCATAAAAGTTGGAAAAGTGTTTAATTAAATTGTGCAATAAGATTGTATTAATCTTTTTGCAATGAGTTTCCATTGATGACAAGAATAGGGTATTCGTAACTAAGACTGTTCAGTCCAAGGCTAAATTATTCTAATAAGGGCTAAGTTAAAATTGGGGTTAGTAAGGACAGTCTGTTGTATTTTAAAAAACTTCAGTTAGTTGAGCTTTTAAAAAATGAAAAAATTCTGGTTTAGGATGTTAAGCTGCTGTACTTCCTTTAGAATTATGGAGTACTGAGTGTTATCTGTGGTATGAATACTAAAGCTACCTATAATAAATGGCATCAGCAATCTGACACATACTTTCTCCCATTAGCCTCCATCAAAGGTGGGAGTAACTATGATATTTTATGGGGTAAATAACAAAAGTTGTAACAACTTTTGAATCATAATTTTTACAGTAGTGGTGGTTGTTCTATTTTAGTATCAAGTACCAAATTGTAATCAAAATCCAATTTTCCGTTATTATATGAGTAAATCACCAATATAAATAAAAGTTTGAAAAAACTCCCCGAGTACCATGGGTTAGTAGCCAACCCACAGACCAAATTTCATTAAAATCAGACCACAGGATCTGTAGCTCTGTATACACACACACACACACACACACACACAGAGAGAGAGAGAGAGAGAGAATTGTAAAATATCTGGAGAAGTAAATTACTGCAATGTTCTGATATTTGTATTTCTTTGTGCAGGATCCCTATCAGCAACCAGCACTGCAGATTCCCTCAGCTCCAGCCTCTTCTGTAACGCCACAAATGAGGTACCGCTTAGTATCTTATATAATATATCAACCAATGTATTATTCTTTCTGTTTTATTTTTTCTTTTAAGTTTTGCATTATATTTATAAATCCAAACTATACCGTTTTCGGTAAATTAACTCCTTGTTTCTTTAAGTCTGTTGTTCTTTACCAAATCCTAGAAAAACAAAAAGCAAAATTAGGAATCATCCTATTTACATTAACATGCATTTATTTTAATTTCCAAATGTAAGTTTTCATGGACCTAAAAATAATCTTTTGAGACATATGGCTTTGGCCTACTACAGTAACAGGTGGGCTTAATCCATCAACTAAAAACTGCACAAGAATTATTCTACTTATAATAATCCATACTCATTTTAAACACACATTGAAGTAAAAATTATGCCAAGTAGGGGTCCCTGTTTTAAAAAATATCTTGAAACGCTAGTGATTCCACCTCCATTAGCGAAGGTTAATAAAAACTGCTTATTCTCTATATGGGAAATTGGAGGGACAATGTTGGCGATGAAAAAAATCTGCTTATGTTTTTAGTGGCCAAGAAGGTAAGGTAAGAATATCAAACAGAGATTGAAAATTTGAATTTGATATGTTACTGTGACTGTTTATGTTATAGGCCAACAGTCTGGTTCCCCCTCCCTACTCCAGCGCTCCTGATAGTGTAGATCAGATTCAAGCCAGCAACACACCCTTTGACCAGGTAATGTGTTACTTAATTTGTTGTAGTTACAACATTTTTGATATTTTCATTTAGTCAAATATCTTCTACCCAGCTGTCAAAAAAGTGTATCGGTTTTCAGTAGACCGAATCTTAAATCAGCTGTCTTTCATCAATGGACTGCTGGAAGGATTCTACCTTATTTTCTTTCCCAAATTAGGTTATTCCATTTTAATACAGGTGTATTATTCTCGCTTAAGTAACGTAATTGAAACTTGCAATGCAACATTATTTATCAACACCTGATGATGCTGTTCAGTGGTGAAGAGTATATTCCTCTCCATGATTACCTTGCAGTACAAGTCTTATGGGAGGCAGTCATGCAATCAACACCACTGTAAACATATTTGTTGTCATGCGGTGAGCTTTAACTCCCCTGACAACCCTAGTGATGGTACTAAAGTATGTACTTTCTGTACCTTTATGCATTATATTAAGATCGATTGGATTTTTACTTTGGTGTGGTCAATCACCACTGATACTGTCATGAAGTTTTCCAGTTGATTTTTACCGTGTTATTTGCAGTCACTCAGTTCCTGTCAGGCGCACAGCTGTGTTTTGATGTCCCAATGTGAAGCTCCAGGCGGGTTATCAGCTGTCAGCTCTGTAGGGGGGTTGGGCCCCCTCCCCTTGGACTCCCCCCCTCAAGCCACCACTCCAACGTTGGAGGTGCGGCAACTTCTGCACAAAATCAACCAGTTGCCCCACCACCAGGTATGATGCTAGGGTAGATATTATTGGATGGGTCGAACAGGAGTTCAGTTGATCTTCAATACTATGAACTGTTATTATTTAATATCCAATCACCCAATGTTGGCTTTTCGCTGTAAATATACCTTGAGTAAAACTACCAAAGTGGCCTACTCTACGATTTTCATCCTCTAAAGGTATATTGAAAAGGATACCCTTTTGTGTCAGGGTACCTATCTAGTCTAATCGTTCAGCATAATCACATTAAAATACCGGAGTGGTTTAGCTGTTTGTTTAAGGAATACAGGTGTATTCCAATATGTTTTCAAAATATTTTAAAATATCTAGGTGGCCAATTTTAATCTTGCATTTGTCCCCCCCCCCCCCTCATTTAAAAAGTGGCCCTGACTTGCCTGTCAACAACTCTGTGAGTAAGGGATGGGAGTAACTATGATATTTTTAGGCTGTATGGGTGACCCATAGTACAGTACAAGATTTTAAATGTATTGGTGAATAAAAAAAAACATATTAACATCAACCATAGGCTAAATATATCTTCTATGTGGATCAAAATCAGTGCAAATATACGACATCGCTGAGATACCAATTCACAATATCAATTTTATGTCCAAGCAATGATACAACAGTAGTCTTTATTGTTACAGAGTGGAGGAAGTGGGAGCAGCAGTAGGTTGAAGCTGTACATGCCGCTAACCCGAGGTCGTCATTGGCTCAGCCGCTCCGCCCCATCCACCCCGTCCTCCCGTCTCACCCCCGCCATGCCGTTCCCCCTCCCCTCCGGAGAGAGCAGCCCGCTCCTCCAGCCTGACCAGGATCACGACACCACCTTCTAGCCGCACACTCAGTGTTACGTTGTCAAACATTTTCCACTTCGAGGTTTCGACACCAGTTTTACCGCTAAGGTGTATGTGCTGATTTAGTTTGAAAATATGTACTGCAACAAATTGTTAAGTTTTTTGATCAGGTATGGTACATTGGTATTGGCTCTTGGTTAAGATTCAAGGATGGTTAGATCAGTAGGCTTACCTCATGAATGTGATTGCTTGCTTGCTGATTACACAATGAAAGATTAAATCCAATTTACACAAAACTAAGTTTTTTAAGACAGTTCTATCTAGAATCCTTGTCTCCTCACTAAAACTGGTTTCAAAAAATCAATTCGTTTGATTTATTTAAATGTTTCAATGAGTAAGAAATATGGCATTTTAGTAAGATGTTGTGTAGGCAGCAGTGCTTAATTCATGCAGTTTTAATTTCGATTAGATTTGATCATGTACAAAAGGGACTACATCAGCATTTAAAAAAGAACAACTTCACAACAGAGAACTTTTCACCCTTTTTAACATGTAATACTTTCTACTACATATACCGTAAAATTGGTCCTCTTATTACTTGACTAGTATTTGGCAGTATTGTATAACAGGTAAGCCCACGGATACTATCAAAATCCCAATCTTAGGTAATGTTCGTTGTTTCATAAACCTTGTTTTTAGATGTAATGTTAGCTGTGTAAGATTATTTCCTATTGAATATCGTTTAGAGTCCAGTAAATACTGTCAATTACATAAGTCTTTACCAAAGCTGTCTCAAAATCAAAGCATAACCTATGGCATGTTGATTTTAGAAGCAAGAACAGTTGTCTTGTTACAAATGTTTCCAAGGCATAATTTGTTTATGACAATTGGATTTAGTCACATGTGTTAAGCTACTCAGTTAAATTACAAAATATTTGCTGTAAATATCTAAATTTGTACAGAAGTTTTTGAAATCGTATACTTTTATAACGATCCCTTGTTTTTCAATGTTAATAAAAGAATGTACTTACAATTGTAAAATTGGTTGACAGTATGTTTTCAACAACCAAAATGGCGAGATATTACTGTAATTGTTAATATATGATACTTTGACAAGCTTTTGTACAGAGAAGTAGTTTGATTTTGCAATTTCTCCAAGCTAAATAACTGACTTGGGTGATTTTAATATGTGATTTTGCCAAGAGATTTTGAACTTGTACACTTACGTAGGTAGTCTTAAAGTTGCTTGATTATAGAAATGTGATCACTATTGAACTTTATATCTTATTAAATATATAGAACATTATTTTGTATTGGACTTAGATTTTAAAAATACCGTCACTTTTAATACTTTTTGTATAGCAATTGTCATTTTTTATGTCAAATCATCTTTGAATTGACAAATATTAAAAATACAAAATTACTTTGAGCAAATCCAAAAATTATTTTGTCTTTGTATAACTTGAGCCGGTTTTAAGCTGGGTTTCATTTTATAAAGTTCTAGAGGTTTTAGACTTATTAACTGTTAAATAATAATGATAAAGACATGCTTATCATGATATGAATTTCAATGTATTCCTCTTATCCTTTATATTAATTTTGTTTATGTTTAGTTTTAATAAAAAGTTTGCTGAAAGTGCTACCTCATGACAAGAAAAAGTGGTTTTCACTATTGGATTTATGTGATTGGCTGCCATGTTATTAAAAACAGATATATATTTCGTCAGAGGCAGAATATTGGAAGTGCTCAAAAAAATTTTACATCTTTAAGTCTGCTTCCAAGGGGTGGAATTGAAAAATCAACAGACTTAAAGTTATCCCATGTTTCATAATAATAAACTACTAAACATTTTTTTCTTTTCAAACAAACCTTTTTAAGTGTAGATTGCTCATTTTCACCAAATCAACCTATTAAACTTAAGAAGTTTATTCTAAAATGAAAATATCATTCATTATTTTTGTAAATGTCTAAGTTTAAACCTCTTTTTCTCAAGTGTTTATAATAGTTAGTACTTAACTCTAATACATCGATAGCTTAATTTTTAGTTTGTTTGGCCATTGTAAAAGTGTCATGTGTATGAAGTAGTGTAGATTTTCCAAACCAAATTTACTCAATTTTACCTTAGCTGAGAGTTTACTTGTGACCAGTTGTGTGATACCGTACACTGCTTAATTTAAGACAAGTGTGAACTATTGGCATTTTAACTTAGAATTATCGTGAAATTCACTATAGTAAATTCTAAGTTACAGAATAAACTTGTATATTCGCAAAGTCATGCAACTATACAAAAACACAAAAAGAATTATCTATCATTTATACAAAAAATGTTATTTAACATACGGTTTTTATATTTAATATAGTATAGATTCAAAATTGGCAAACTTAATAATATTTTTGTTAATTTGTCTCATGTTATTTCTATCATGTGTATTGACCAACTCATTAAGTTTTGAGTTGATTGACAAAACTCTACTACTCATCATCGAGAATAAGAATCAACTGCTAAAGAAAACATTGAAATGCACAATGTTACCTTTGGTTACATTTTAAGATTAATTGAAATAAAAATCTCGCTTATACTAAACTATTTTTGCAAAAGCACAATACAGACCAGTATTTAGTTTTAACCAAAGATTTTCACAATACAGTAGAACCTCGATAGCAAATTTCTCAAGGGAAAGACTTATTATCAAGGTAAACTTATTATTGAGGTTTGCAATAACATGAGATTAGGACTAATACTAAATCGTGGGTATTTGCATAGACAAAAGAATTAAATATAGACTGACAGCATAGTGCTGCGGTTAGCATATATTCTAGCGTCCACCGCTAGGAATGCCGTGTAGTTTCGGCGCAATGCGCACACAGCTGCAGCGTCAAGTGCTAGTGTCAGTCGATATTTAATTATTTTGTCTATGGTATTTGTAAATGCCACTTCTTGTCAAGGGTGTCTTGCTATTGAAAGTTTGTTATTGAGATTACTGTGTTAATCTAACTGTGATATAGGTTTCCTGCACATATTTTCTCCTCAATTTCAGTTTTAAATAGATTTTTAACAAGTCCACTAATTAATGTCATGCAACAACTAAAAAAATATATTAATAAGAAGAGCTCAAATAAGGTAACAGAGGCTCTTGTTTGTTCTCTAGGTTTTATGTTATAAAGCTCGCACACAAGAAATGGTTATAAAAATAAATAAACTCAGAGGTATGGATAGAATCTGAAATAATTGGAATAGATGGTATAACGAAGCCTTAGTTTGGCAGCCAGAAAACGGTTAGCTACTTTCCAACATGCACATCAGCTATCTGCAGTGACGTAAAATCCTTATGTTACATTATAATCTAATGGCACTGTAGCTTGGATGTAGTAACAAATTTCAAAATGCAAACTGTGATCAGACATTATAAATGCATCATTGTGCTTGATAATATTGTATTAAGATTCATTTAAACACAAATATTTGTATTTTGTCAAGATGGACTTACATGTACAATTAAAACCCCCATAGTGTCCCACGTTTTAAACTGTTCTTTCTTTTTTATAAAATGATTTTGTGTTGTTTAAACAAAATTTTAACAAGCTGCAGTTTTTGTACAGTGCTTTCAGGTAGAAAACTGTTAAATTTTAATGGCGCTATAGTGAAAATAAAATTTACAAATATTCTACAATGTTATTTTGTTTTATTATAATAACCTCTATTCTTACTTTTTTTAACTGCCAGTGTCTGTGTAATATTTGAGACATTTTAAAATCATAAACTTTTTATTTTATTTTATGTGTGATTTGAAACATAGGCGTCTATTGACTACTTAAAAAGACTAAAAACAGACTTAAGGTACGTCCACCTTTATATATTCCAATGTATGAGAAAAAAATTAATTAATAATTTCAAAACTACTCATATTGATATCTGTTAATCTGGCAATTGTTTAGGTAGAATAAAATTAGGAAAGTGATCATGTCTAAGGTTTGGATCAAATAGAGATTTTTTACTTCCATAGGTCTACTATTATATTAGATGTGTTAACCGCGTCATTACATTATCAGTACCTACATTTTTATCCAAAGTCATACCCACATAGCAGAATATTTATTGATATCAAATACTTTGAGCTTTTTGTCGCTACTTGGTTTAAATTAACATAAACATTTTGGTTTAAATGAAAATAGTTTTAGCAATCTGACACATACTTTCTCCCATAAGCTTGTCAACAACCTTAATCATGGGTAAGCTGTGGGAGTAACTATCTATGATAGTATATATATTGAAAAAAAAACAAAAGTTGCAATAACTTTGGAACCGTAATTATTACAGCAAGGGGGGTTGCACTATTTTTTTTAGAATTATAAGCTCTATAACACATTAATTTTGATAAAAATGGGAAAAAACCTATTTTTACCACATAAACCCCTGTTCCCATAGTCCGATCATGCTGGTTCGCGAACTCGTTCAGGTTTCGGATCATTTTTGCTCGAGTTATCGTGCTAACGGACACACACACACATATATACATATATATATATATACTTAGGCATATATATATATATATATATGTGTGTGTGTCCGTTAGCACGATAACTCGAGCAAAAATGATCCGACTATGGTGAAATTTGGTACATACATGTAAACCTACATTTATTCAAACGAGTTCGCGAACCAGCAAGATCGGACTATCATTTCCCAATTAAGTTATTCCCTATATGGGAAATTCGCTAAAATTAATACTGCTGCACCATGTTGCTAAACCTTGACGATACTGTAAAAATCTACATGACCAAGCACGCTAAAACAAATAAACCCCGTGGAAAACTGGGTCGCGTTCCGAACAGGCTCACGGGATGTATACGTGACGTCATATTGATCGTCCGTAGATCCTTGACGTCATACTTAGTTATAAAATTAAGACAAATAATAAAATTAATTTTACTATAATTTTCTAATCAGGTATAAAATTAAACTGTCATAACCTAACCAAACTTGCTGATAATGAAAAAATCTAATGAAGGTGTACTAATCGAAAAAATAGTTATGTTCATAAAATAAAATTAAAAATGCCTCAAATTCTAATAAAAGATGAACAGTTAAGAAGTAATCACATTCTAAGCTATAAATCTTTGACAAAAAGTAAGTGCTTCCAATGGGATTCGAACCGGCTACATTCAGTTCACCAGCCTGGTATGCTATCCACTACACTTACACAACCGAGAGCCGCCGCCGAGACTTGTTGGCTCTATACATACTGTATCGTTGCGATAATGGCCAATGGTGTTCTCTCAAGAGAAGAGATTGACGTCATGCCATGAGAACCAATAGCAATTGTGTGTCACGGAGCGTCCCATGAGCCTTGCGTAAACTGGGCCCATGTAAAACCCCCGCTTGGAATCTTGGAATGGGATATGACAAGACCCCACTACACTACGTAGTGTAGTGTAGTGGGGTCTTGGACTCTTGGATAGGAGGACTGGGGCGCTTAATTTTTATTTCAGCTGCAGATTTTTAATGAGAGAATTCTACTGTATTGGCTGAGGGAACACAATTACCACAACTATACAGAAAAAGGGCAGCCAACAGCAGTGTTCGTGTTCGTGGTGTAATGGGAAGAGCACCATACTGATGTGCAGAAGGTAACAAGATCGAATTCCACAGGTGAGGTGACATTAACTTTTCGTCCATGATTTTGCTTAGAAAGCGATTACTTCTTAACTGTACATCTTTTGTTAGATTTTAAGACATTTATAATTTTATTTTATGAACAGAACTATTTTTCGAATAGTAAACCTGCATTTTTTCATTATCAGCTAGTTTGGTTAGTTAGTTAGGTTAGGTCATGACAGTTGACAGTTAACTTCTAGTTTATATATACATAAACATGCAAACTTTTAGAAGCATTACTTTGTCATTTACTTTTATGAATTATTCAAGCATTGAAATTATACACGTGTATCAATTTTACGTAATTTATTTTGAACATTGTAGACTAACAGTTTAATATAGTTAAATATAACCTTTTGTACTTTAGTGTAAAATTATTTTATTGATAATAAAATTTGATTTGCTTTTAAGTACTTAAATACTTGCTTTATTTAAAATCCAAAATAAACTGTTATAAACTATATGCGATGAATACAACCTAGTTGTACAAGAGAAATTGGTCATGAATCTAATAACAAACATAATATTAATACACCAAGGAACTATTGATCACGTTTCTTAGATGACTAACTTACCAACATATAATTATTTTCAAAATAAACTTATCACACACTTTTATAGAAATTTCTATATTTCGGCATTAGCCTTCTTCAGGAACAAACACAATAACAAATAGAAGTGTTTACCACTCTGAATCATATGGTTTTAGCAAAAATCCAAAATACATATAATTTATGAAGAAGATTCAGAGTGGTAAACACTTCTATTTGTTATTGTGTTTGTTCCTGAAGAAGGCTAATGCCGAAATATAGAAATTTCTATAAAAGTGTGTGATAAGTTTATTTTGAAAATGATTAAGCCGTTTGGCAATATTATGAAGAAACAACATATAATTATGTTTCTGTCTGTTGTCGATGATTGTAAGTTTCATTAATTTTCTTCCTAAATTTAAATAAATTTGACTCATAATTTTGTTTTTATTTGAAGTGCTTTTGACAATTGAAATAAGCTTAAACCCCTCTTTTTTTGTTTCAAAACTGCAAAATGTTCTGGGGGAGAACCCCCGGACCCCTCCCCCATTCCATACCCCCGGTGTTTGCCCCTCCCCAAGGATTTGGTGAAATGACGCCATTGATTTTGTCTGTATTACAAATCCACATCTGAAATAAAAATTGTGCAACTGGGACCGGGACGGGGGGCAGCCACAGAGCACTAAATAAGAATTCTTATTTAGTGGAGGCAGCAATGGAGGAGAGTAAAAAGAAAAACTCCAACCAAGAAAGAACCAATCAGAGAGAGAATCATCCATTAAGGTAAATGCACCAGTAGCTGACAGTGCTCCAGAAGCCGACAGTTTGAGTTTCTTAACATTATAATGTGGTCTCTTAAAAATATTTACACATGATTGCATTGTTAGAAGAACATATGTTTATTCTTGATTTGTTTACAAAAAAATCAGTTAAATTTAGCCCATACTTGCGGAATGGTGGTGGTTTGAAAGCGATCCTGTCCGTACACATCACATTTAGTCGATTCCCTTAATGAAATTGTTAAGAAAGTTAGTTTAGTTTTTTGTCATTTCGCTAAATTTCTTAAATAGTATTAATGATTAGGCTCATTATTTTTATCAATTATACCTTTGTTGACAATTTCATGAAAAAATTGGGGCGTTAGGGGTTTTGGATTTAAAATTATATCAATGTCAGGCTTTGGTACACAAAAGCCATACAAGTTCCACTAGCTGACAGGGGATATTTGCTACTTGCACAATATTAAATTGGTTTCACCCATCGAAATTTGCATGCTATTTATAATTTATGTGATCTCACATTTTTATAAAATGATTTTAATTTTTTAATTTATATGCCAAATTATCTTAAAAAATGTATATTTTTTTAAAATATATATAAAATATATACAGGGTGACAAACAAGTCTGGAAACGGTTTAATATCTTTTTAAATAAATCCGTTAGAAAATTCAAACCTTTCACATCAACTTACATGTATGAAAACTACTTTTTCCAAGCATTATCATTTTTTTACCTCTACCAGGGGACGGCCCACGAGGAGTAGGTACATAATCTTTAATGTAAGCATATGTTGATATGCACATCATTTTAAAGGTCTGGTCAAGTGGAGTTCATTGCCAGAAACTGCGTCAAAAAAGGTTCATCCGTTACAAAATGGCGGCTGTCCAAAGTTCTTGTGGAATATACCCGCACAGGCCTTAGTATTGGTAAATACTCGTATTAAACATTAGCTTGAGAGCTGAAACTGTATTTTTAAGTCAACTAGCTCATAGATTAATATTATAAAATCTTCAAAACAAATTTTACCGAGTTTCAGATTTCCCGGCTAATGTTGAATATGAGTATTTACCAATACTAAGGCCTCTGTAGGTATATTCCGCAAGAACTTTGGACAGCCGCCATTTTGTAACGGATGAACCTTTTTTGACGCGGTTTCCGGCAATGAACTCCACTGGACCAGACCTTTAAAATGATGTGCATATCAACCTATGCTTACATCAAAGATTATGTACCTACTCCTCATGGGTCGTCCCCTGGTAGAGGTCAAAAAATGGTAATGCTTGCAAAAAGTAGTTATCATACATATAAGTTGATGTGAAAAGTTTGAATTTTCAAACGAATTTAGTTAAAAAGATATCAAGCCGTTTCCAGACTTTTTTGTCACCCTGTATATATATTTTAATGTAAATATTATTTATTTTAAAAAATGTAAAATAAATTTTCTTAATAACGTTTTATGTGATTTTATAATTTAATTATTAAGTTAGATTTTATTCGTCTTATAAATTATAAAACCTTTAGGTTTAGCAGCTAATACATTTAAGTTCCAGTGTCAGCTACTGGGACAACTGACTGTCAGCTACTGGTACAAGCACTTTTTTCACTGTCAGCCACTGGAACACGTACAAAGGTTGAATTAAGTTTAAAAATGTTATAAAATATAT